GAATTTATTCAGGATCTAGTTGTTTTTTAACAGCTAGTCTAACATACTTGCTGGAAGCAAAATCTTATTTTATATATTAAATATATTTTTAAAATTATGATACAGTAACCTGAGAAAGCACATATTTTATGTCATTTCTTATTAACAGAATCTCTCTGGAAAGGTTCCCTACCCCTTGATCAGAACAAAACTCACAGTATATGGGAATTGAGTGAACATTAGGAAGGTCCTAGAGGATGAACCTATCCTAAGGTGGTCGTCTCATTACTCGGTAGAAATTTCTCCTGGTACCCTATTATTATTAGATGTTGCATCAACATTGACTGTTGAAATTACTATTTTTTTTTTTGTTTTTAAAATATACTTATTTATTTTAGCGACAAGGTCTCATTTTGTCACCCAGGCAGGAGTACAGTGATGCAATCATAGCTTGCTGCAGCCTCAAACTCAAGTGATCCTCCTGATTCAGCCTCCAAGTAGCTGGGACTAGAGATGCATGCCACATGTCCAGGTATTTTTTTTTTTTTTTTTTTGGTAGAAACGGAACGTCATTATATCAACCAGGCTGGTCTCCAACTCCCTCCTAGTCCCAGGTGATCCTCCTGCCTCAGCCTCCCAAAGTGTTGAGATTATAGGTGTAAGCCACCATGCCTGGCCTCTGTTCAAGTTTTAATGTCCTGATTAATATGTGATTCAGATTAGTAAGACTAAAAATCTATGATCATATCCCATCATTTTGAACCTTTTAAAAAATAATAATGATTTGTTACATGCAGCTTCCATCTAGAAGCATAACTTTATTTTTGGAAATGTGGGCCACCTACAATTTAAAGCAGGCTAAACAAGGCAGCTTGTGATTTCATTTTAGTCAGAAACACACCTAATAGGCATCATGGCAGCAGATCTGGCTGCTACTGTTTTAAATATAGGTAGGCTGTCAGCATCTTTATTGTTCATAATTGTCTGTCAATGTTCTCTGGATGATCAAGAAAATCTTTGTGCCTCACCCTAATCACTGAAGTAATGAAAGGAGATACCGGCAGCAAGGACTGCAACTGTAAATGCTGCAATCACACCTAAAAGTAAAACAAACACAAAACAAATGAAAATGGAATGAGCAAAAGAAAGGCTGAACTAATCCTAGGCTCTGAAATGTGGGTAACTGATGGGCCTCAAAAGCAATACACAAACACACAATCATACGTACACATACATATGTATGTACTAAAAGGCAGCAACATCTTAGAGAAAAATATAGCAATAAGTTGAAAAATTAGATTTCGAATGTTGGGCAAAGTATCTCTCTTGCACACATGTGCACTGAGATGTATCTAAGAGAAAAAATAACAAACACTTTAAAGGGCTTATGTAATTATTTATATTGGCATACCAGCTGTCTTATGCTACTTAGGTTAAAAAAAAAAAGGCAGTGCTAGTAGGCAGTAGTTCTCAGTCATTATAACGTAAAGCCACGGTGTAGCTATTGAAAAACTGCAGAAGTCCATGTTTGACCATTATAAAATCTAAGAATTAGTACATCTTAGTTGTAACTTTTATTTTTTCCTGATTATAGTAAACTAAAGAAAGAAACTGACCATAGTAGTCTAGACAGACAATACAGACAGACACACATATACACACACACACACATGCACAAAAAATTTAATTAAATTTAATGAATGATAAGAACTACAATTAAATCTTTTGGGTCCTAACTCTCAGTCAGAGGTCTTAACAGTATATTTCAAACTGTTATTCTGCTAAACAATAGTCTTTGTTCAAAAAGTCTGAAAAATGTTACAGTAATTCTGCATTTCTTAGAGCCCTTAAAATATAAAATTATATTATAAAATTCTTGACTTCAATTTGACATTTTTTGTCATAGAACACAAATCAAAATCTCCTGCAATAGTAATTCTAGGAATACCAGTTTATAAAGCATTAGCTCTACCATACTAACTGATTCCCAAAACTCTGCATCTTTTTCTTTTAAAAACATTTTAAAAATTAATAAGATGTGTCATCTTTGAGGGCACTTGGATGACAATGTATGAATTATTAAATCTTCCTATCTCTAGGGCCTGGCACTTTCCATCCATAATACCCAATAAATACTGGCTAAGTCTAGCACTCTTAAGAAAGCAAAATGAAATACAAATAATTTTAAAGTAACAGGAAAACTCAAGTCCAAATATGTTTTCAGTGTTATAAAAGAAATAAAATTAAATACCTATGTTTTGCTGAATTTTCAATAATATTGTAGTTTTAATTGGCTGTTTTGGTTGTTCATCATCTGTGTTGTCCAATGAAGTTTGACTATTCACAGAGGAACTCACACAAACTGAAAGAGTATAATAATAAAAGTCTACATAAAATAAGGATTAACACTTTAAACTGAGTTTTAAAGAACATTATAAAAAACAATCAACACCATTTTCATTCTACTTGTTTTTTATATAACAACGAATTTGTTCATTATCAACTGTAGGTGAATTAAATTTAATGGAATACATGTCAAATTGACAGTTTTCAAAACATTTAATGTGGCTTTATCATTGAACTAAACCAGACGGCCACACAGCCAGTTCTGAGTAACTTTCAAAAATCGTAATTTGTTGGCCAGGCGCGGTGGCTCACGCCTGTAATCCCAGCACCTTGGGAGGCGGGCAGATTGCCTGAGCTCAGGAGTTCAAGATCAGCCTGGGAAACACAGTGAAACCCCATCTCTACTAAAATACAAAAAATTAGCTGGACATGGTGGCATAGATCCAGTTACTCAGGAGGCTGAGGCAGAATTGCTTGAATCTGGGAGGCGGAGGCCATAGTGAGCTGTGATAGTGCCACTGTACTCCAGCCTGGGTGACAGAGAGGCTCCATATGAAAAAAAGAAAAAATTATAATTTGTTTACTATATGGTAGTAAATTTATGCCAAAATTCATAGCAGAGTAAATTTCACTGTTACTTGAGATTAATGTATATCATTCTTTTTGTTGTTGTTGAGACAGAGTCTGGCTCTGTCACCCAGACTGGAGTGCAGTGACACGATCTCGGCTTACTACAATCTCCGCCTCCCAGGTTCAAGTGATTCTCCTGCCTCAACCCCCGGAGTAGCTGGGATTGTAGGCACCCACCACCATGCCTGGCTAATTTTTGTATTTTCATTTAATTAATTTATTTTTTTGAGACAGAGTCTCATTCTGCTGCCCAGGCTGGAGTGCAATGGCATGATCTCAGCTCACTGCAACCTCCACCTCCCAGGTTCAAGCGATTCTCCTGCCTCAGCCTCCTGAGTAGCTGGGACTACAGACATGTGCCACTACGCCCAGATAACTTTTGTATTTTTAGTAGAGATGGGGTTTCATCATGTTGGCCAGGCTGGTCCCAAACTCCTGACCTCAGGTGATCCACCCACCCTGGCCTCCCAAAGTGCAGGATTATAGGCGTGAGGCACTACGCCTGGCCTAATTTTTGGATTTTTAGTAGAGATGGGATTTCGCCATGTTGGCCAGGCTGGCTTTGAGCCCCTGACCTCAAGTGATCCACCCACCTCAGCCTCCCAAAGTGCTGGGATGACAGGCCTGAGCCACCGTGCCTGGCCTAATTTATATCATTCTTATTAGTGGTTTTAGCGATTAATAATTTCAAATAATTAGGTATTAATAAAATTAGGGACCAGCACATTGTAGTACATGGGCGAAATCTGGCTCAAGACTTATTTTTGTAAAGGTCTTAAAGTAAACATCTATTTTTATATTTTTAAGACTGTTAAAAAAATGTGAAAAAGACTTTATGTGGCTCACAAAGCCTAAAACATTTGTTACTTGCACAAAAAAGTTTGCTGACTCTTTATCCAACTTGAAATTTAAACTATGATAAAAAAAAAATTTGACCTTAAAACCACTCTGAATGGTAAGCAAGGCAAGGATACCATCTCACTTTACAAATGAAAAACAAAACCTGGGAGGGTAAGTACATAGCTGACCATCAGGTATTTGACTGATGAGTTAGACACAAGTTCTCTTTCTTCTCCATTATGCTGACAGCAATTTATGCATGTTGGCCTATTTGAATTTATTTAACACTGAATGAAAGTGTGTGAACTGGTAACATCCTTAGAGTCCACGCAGGCCAATAGTTTCCAATTTTTTCCCCTACGGCTGAAGAATCCTATGAAACCAAAGAAAATCTGACAGAAAATCCCAGTGTGTAAAAGAGATGAAAGCATGCCAGCCAGGCTGAAGCCGGGAGGGATGACTCCTGGAGTCAGACCAGCTCCTTCTGTCCTAGAGGTGACAGTAGAAAGCTACTCTATAGAACTCTAGGGAACTAGGTTATGAAAGCAACTATTTTAGATTTATCTCTTTATTTACCTGTTCCCCCCCACCACCTCGAAGAAAAAGAGAGAGAGAGGGAATTCAAGAGTGAGAGATAGTAAATATGACTATTTAAATTCAAAGTAAAATAGCCTATTGTTTGAATTTACGTTTTTATAGACATCTTTGTACCCCAATATACTAGCGCAAGCTCACAAGAATGACATATGAACATACTGAAAAAGGTATCTATGACACCAACATGGAAGAAAAGGAAAAAAAAATTACTTACTTCTCATTCATTTCCCATAAAGTTTATGATTTTCATAAATAATTCCCAGAAAATTATCTTATTAGAATCAAGGGCACCACCATTCCTTTTTTCTTTTTCCTCTTCAAGAATGTAACTAAATACTTTAAAAACAACCAACCAAAAAACTCTCCTTTTTTCTATTCTCACATCAATCCAGTTACAAAGAACAACAAATTCTTATGAACTGTCTCTAGGAATATCTAGTCTTCTATATTTCCAGTTTCTAGTTTTCTCAAGGTCTATCATACCTCAGTTCTAGACTACATAAGCCCAGTAATATAAAATGTCTTCCAGCTTTAGTCCATAGGTCTAAAAGTTGAATGGCTAATACAATTCTACATTAAATGAAAGCAAAAACAAACTTTGACTCTGCTATTAGCAAATATCTCTCCTAAAAAGGGTGTGGTTTTTTTTTTTTTTTTTTTTAAATATTTGGGCCAATAAAACCCTTACATCAGTAACAAAAACAATAGATGGTATGAATTATACCTATTTGCTATAGGAACTTTTTTACTTGAATACTTGCATACAAAGAAAATAAAATTGTTTTAGTTGTCATATTATTTATATATCTAATTCAATTATTACATACAAAGATCATGCTCTAGACAGCTATACCCTGCACAAATAATTTACTTTCATAACAGACATTCCATTGCCCTGCTAATTCTATTTTTAAATCAGTCATACAAAATCAGGTGGTTTGATATAAATTTGAGGTAATTTTACCGAAGCAGAATTTTTTCAATAATGAATAAGCCCTTATCACAACAATTTATTTGTCTGTTTATTTTTGGTGGGAGCTTGTAGGGCTTTAAATCAAATCTCAGGTACTATTTCACCAATATTTTAATATATGAAATTTAAATGCAAATAACACAGTGACTCAATACAGCATTAGATCTCAACCATTCCTTAAAGCCAAGTAATTTTAAATTCAGACAAATCAAAAATTGATCATGTTAAGAAAGCAATCTTCATGAGCAGCAATAAAAAAAGAAAACAAGGACCATGGTGAATGCATGCAAAAGTTGCAGACGTGTTCAGATTTCATTCCAAGCTGCTGATAGGTAATAGGCAGGACTATTCAGAAGCTTAAAATGAAATAGTTAAGACTTGAACTCCTTAGTTGGCTGTGTTCTTCCAATCCCTAAATCCTAAATTACTGATGTATCATTATATTCAGGGATGTAGCCATAAAATTATATCTTCGTTATTACTCATTTTTCCTTTTCATCAATGTTTAACCAAATGATAAAAATTAATTTCAGCTCTGGTATTGGCAAAGATGAGGTTCACCAGATTTTAAAGGTGTGACTTCAAATTTTTTAGGTGGTACTGTTGATAAAGTACATTGAACTTAAGTTAATATCTACTAGCAGATGACTAGCACAGCTAAGAAATTTCAAACCCATAGTTATCCCACACCTCAAGTGAGTCATTCTGACAAACTGTTCTTCATCTATTAAGTCATTTAAAAGTATGTTATTTTAAGATACTTACCTGGCAAATACGTATTTTAAACATAGCAACGACTTGGCAACTATACTATAGAACAGAAATAAGTAATAATCAGGTAAATAATACAAGTTTAGTATCCCTTATCTGAAATGCTTGGGGACCAGAAGTGTTTTAGATTTCAGTCCTTTTTAAAAAAATTTTGGAATATTTGCATTATACTTACTGTCTGAGCATCCCTAATCTGAAATCCAAAACGCAAAATGTTATAATGAGTATACTTCCTTTGAGTATCATGTTCGTGCTCAAAAAGTTTCTGATTTTGGAGAATTTTGTGTTTCACACACTCAGATTAGGGAATATTCAACCTGTAATGTTAAATACTTAGAAGATAAAGCAAAATGCTTGTAACACATTTAATGCTCTTAAACGTGTAGCAATTGATTTCAATTTTTGAATTTGAACATTTGAGCTCCACTTTTTTATGGTTTATTTTATATGGAAACTCTAATTTCAAATATTTATATAGGAAAACTTACACATATTATAAAATATTTCACACTTGAATATTAGTATTTTTCATTACAAGTCAGAGGTTCAGTATTTAAAAGTATAATAATGTGTTAATATCATCCTCCATTCATATATCTCTTTCTGTTTAGAAGGTATTTTCCCCAACAGTTTTACCAAATTCTTAAGAGAATCTAGGACTCAGAGGGAACTTGTTTAAGGTTACACAGTTACAAGTGGCAGGCCTGACCCTGGACATTATCTTCATAAAATTATGACATCTAATATCTTTGAGTAAATGAATAAAAAATGAATGAGTAAATGAGTGAATAAGTGCATATAATTCTTTTTTTTTTGAGGCGGAGTTTCACTCACGTTACCCAGGCTGGAGTGCAATGGCGCGATCTCGGCTCACCGCAACCTCCGCCTCCTGGGTTCAG